TATAATTCTTAGGCGCTTTATGTTTACAATGGCAACTTCAGCTTGCTTGCTACAGTTTGGGCCTGCATTCTGATATCCTGGTATATTATGTGGTATAGGAACAAAAGATTTAGTTGTGATTCTCGGTGCAGAACAAGTCAATATTTGCACTAGAATGCAGTGACGTTGACTCTAGTGTCAACACTGGATTTTGTGTTAGAATTCCCCCCCCCCCCCCTTCTTCTTGAGATATCATTTTAAAATTTCTTTGCTGCTGTGACTAATCAAAGGAGATCATCCTTGAAATAAGTTCTAAGAAATGAGATTGAACTTCAGTTGTGGTTGAATCTGCTTTACCGTGAATGAGATGGAACTTAAATTGTGGTTGAATGTCTTTCCCTGCTGAAACTTATTCTTGCATTTCAGAACTTTGTTGGCTTATCTGTATCTGACGGTTACATTGCTACTGGCTCAGAGACAAATGAGGTATCATTTATTATCATATATAGCTCTATTATTACTTGCTTACTGATGCTGTTCGTAAATATTATTATCATATATATTTACTATCATATATAGCTCTATTTAAGACAAGTGAGGTGTCATTTATTATCGATGTTCTAAGTCCAAGCTATTTGTCAAAAAGTATCTCTAAATTTCTAGTTGTTTCTGAACATTTCGGTTGATGCTGTTCGTAAATAAGCAAATGAATGATTCGCAATTTCTTACTGTATTTGAATCTAAAAGATTTTTCATTACATTTGTGACAAACCAACCACTGTCCTTTTCTGCTCGAGAAGAAAACATATACTTTAATTGCCATTTTGTCACAAAACAATACACTATTGCTATGATATTGCTGATTCATTAGAAACAATCCACTTCATGTTTTCTTTAATATTTTAATTGTTCAATGAAAGGGTTTTTTAGTGGATCAATATTATCAATATGACCTTGGATCTTAGTAGTGGTTGACAAAATATGATTAAGAATCACCAAATTGTCCTCCAAATGTTTTAAATTAAACTGACTGTGCTCCTGTAGAAATTTCAAGACCAAGTAGGGAGACTTGTGATGCCGCACTTTTTTAATTCGACCTAGGATACATCCAACGTTCTTATTTCTTGATCATATTCACGACTCATGCTTGAGTTAGCATGAGTTCTGTACATTTAGTTGGTTTAAAGGTGCATCTAGAGAGAGAATTGTTGTAAGAGTAGAGAATAGAATATTAGTTGTGCCAAAGAATTAATAAAAAGCACGGGCTGGTGAAAGCATTAACTTGAGCTACATACAAAATGAAGTGTGATGCTCTCAGCACAGATTTGGTTGCACGTACTACAAACTATGTCTTTCACAACATACTACATGTCTTTGTGCAGATGCATATGAATTGATTCGCGTTGTGTATGTAGGGCACCATGGCTAGGCTGGTTTTTGTTGCTTCTAGCCTTTATCAATTGGTAGCTAGCCGTCAACCAAAAACATGCCAATGTGCAACCTAAAGTTGGCTGTTGTATTTCCCCGTAGTCTGCCAATCATCAACACTAATTAGAATACATATTCATATATTACTTCACAAATGTATGAAATATGAAAGTTTTTCACTAATATTTGCAGAATAATTTTACTCGTTTCTCATAAATAATTATAATAATAATAATAATACTAATTTTATTCTCGTCCAAATGCTCTTCTACTTCATTCCTTCAATGTTGTCCGCGTGAGTGCTAAAGTGACCACTTCCCATGCTTTTCTCCTTTTACTCTTCTTTCTGAATTTCCATCGAAATGACAATTCTCTAACAGCTTGTGGCATTAGTGATTCAACTCCAAACATATTCTAAACTGTACTCCGGAAACTTGTACTCTGCGACCAAGCATGCATTGAGACCATGCAGTAGTTAACTATTTACATCCTACCTCTCTTCTTTCACATGAAACACTTGCTACTATATTATTCTTCTTTCCCTGAAGTTCTAATAGGGTTAAATGGGTTTCTGATGTTGCTTTCCTAATATGAAACTACACCATCGTTGACACTTTAGGAATCAAATCATGGCGTAAGGAAATTCCCCATTTTCCTTCTCTAGTAATAAATTATAGAAAGACTTAAGATGCAAATAAAGCTTTCTTGTGTCCTCTCCATATCCAATCGTCTGCTTTGCTTGTACAGTAGTTCCAACAGACTATTGAGCCCTTCCACCTTCTGATCTGGCAACTTTCTCCTAAAGCTCAAATCCCACAACTTGCTCCTCCCTGTTCGTTGCAGGCAGGGGTGATTGTTGCTGTTTGCTTTCTTGAGACATTGAGAATGGATAGAAAAGTTTCAATAGATCGGCATTGTTGCACCATTTCTGCTTCAAAAAATTTGTTCTAGTACAGATCCTACTCTAAATTTTAGGTGTCTGTAGAAATCTTTCCATCCTTGTGCTCTTTCATAATGCCACTCAATGTAATTGCTTTATCTGATTTGTTCCCATTCTACCCCTTGACCTCCATATTTATTGCAAGCACGTCTGCTCCACAAAGGTTGCTCCTCCACAAAGCTTAGCCAAACACTTCAACTTTGAAAACAAAAAATACTCTTTTTGAAAAGAAAAAAAAAAGAGCTTTGGGTTTGGAGAAGCTTGGCCGAACATGCTATTAAAAGGGGTGAAATATACCTTGTTAAAGAAAAAAGGGGGTGAAGGACCATTAAAATTGCATGACTCTCCAGTGTATATTTTTTAAATGGCTATATATTGAGTCTTATATCGTTGCATAGCTTGCGTATTGATATTTGTCTGTATTGTTCCACAAATAGCTAGTCGCTATGAGTTGGTCATGTTAATGTTACGTGTGTGATCTGGGTTGTGTTGCAGGTCTTTGTCTACCACAAAGCTTTTCCTATGCCGGCATTATCATTTAAATTTAATAGCATGGATCCGCTTTCTGGTGATGAAGTGGATGACCAAGCACAGTTTATCTCATCTGTTTGTTGGCGTGGTCAGTCCTCTACCTTAGTTGCTGCAAATTCAATGGGAAATATTAAGCTCTTGGAGATGGTTTAATGTCTCCAACGGTTTGGGAGTTAGTTTCGGGATAGAAAAGCATGAAAGATTATTGCCTGCATTGGTAAATGAATGACTTGCACTGAAGATGTCAACTAGGTACGATACCATGACAAATGAGGATAATTGTCATCGTCAAGAAACCAAGATTTTTGCTACTAGTTCATATAGTGGAATGCTGTACATAAAAGGGAAAGAATGCTAAATGTGAATCTCTTTGTATATTCTATAATTTCCAGAGTCGGAATGAAGTTTCAGAGGAACTATATGATCTCCAGAAAACTTTTTATGTCTTGTCAATGAAAGCAAATTAGGCAGGCATTCCCTGTCTCATATTGGTTCCCTCTTGATCTCTCATCTGCCCAATCAATATATTCCATAACCTTCATTGATAATAAATCAATAAAAAAATGTGGAACCTATGTCATTATGTATTGCAACTTTTGAATGTTACTCTATTTACATAGCGAAGAAACACAAATTCTTGTTTCGATGTGTTATGTGTATACTGTTCATGACCAAGAGCATGCAAAATTATGATTGTTAAGTTGGTTCATTTCTGCTCTTAATCTGTTAGTGTTGGGTATAGTTTTTTTTGGACGATTTAATGGAAGAGAAAATTATGGGAATGGAAGCTCAAAATGAAAACTTACTGATACCTTAATGTGTATAAATATTATGTAAAAGTTTCTTCTTTCACATATTTTGTATAACAATGATTTAATCTATGAATCGGCAAATGTGCGTCGTGGACGTTAACTTTATTTTATTGATCATTAATCTAATCTTGTGATCCTACATTTTGTTTTGCAAATTTTCTTTGATTCGATCTAAAAGAAGACATATGTTACAAATCGAAACCTCAAAAGAGACTCCTATAATTCTATCTTAATTATGTGTTATGATAACATGAATGTTAGAATGCCATCGAGGATTGTGGTAGGATGGATATATGATCCGTTCACCCTTAATCAAAGGTCTTGGGTTTGGAATAAAATTTTGGTACGAAGCATTTCCCCTTTAATGGACCTATCTCTGAATTAGTCGGGGCTCCAACTTATAAGATGACTTCTCTTTTTTTCTTTTTTCTTTTTCTCCTCCAAATAAATTGTAGACATGAAGATTTGGGAGGGTTTTTAGATTTTATCTTAAGAAATGAATGTATAAGATAACGGAGCTGGCGAATTAACCTGATAAGACAAGACAACCCTCTTAACAATTGTTTCTCAAATGAAGTCTAGTATTTTCTTTTTTCTACTTCCTTTTTCTTGGACTTTTTCCATTTCAAGGGGTAGCTCAGGTAAACAGTAAAGAGAAAGGAACAATGGATGAAAGACAATACCTTACAGCTTTAAGATGTAAGGTATAACTTATAAGTAATCAAATCTTGTACCTCTATGAGTTTGAACTTACACCAATTAACCCTCTATCCTCCTTAAAACATGCTTGGGGAGATCTTTTCAGCTTTATCTTTAATATGAAGAATACACTAAGTTGTATTGTTATTCCACATGGACTGTGCAAGAGCTTTCAAGTATGTTTCTCAAGTTCTGGGGCTATCCATCCGTTGTCTTAAATTTTGAGTTAAAGTGCCCAATTTTAATATGGTATCAGAGTCAATCGAGTTACACTTTCACAGAATAAACTGCAAAATTAGTAAGCAAAGGGTGCTTCTACTGTTGTTTTGAGTTCCTTGGCTTAAGCTCAAATAGTAACCACAAGAAGAAAGCGGGGAGCATGAATCCTAGTCTCGTTTATGTCGAGCATGATCTCTATGGCATGGACGTGTTTGATTGGACGAAGACACATATATATAGAAAGTGTGCAGTGAAGAACAGTGAGTCATGAGTTTGTTGGCCAGGAAATGATATGTGCAGAGATAATTTAAATAAACAAAGCCACAGATTAGGGCAGTAATGATGAACCTATATCCTGTCCAAGTGTAGCTACAAAAACAGGAACACCAAAATAGTGGCAAGGATATGGCAAACTTCATATATTACAAAATAATCTAACGTTAACATGTTATTCTCTGGCTCTTTAAATGAATCTCTTTCCCCCTCGCCTTTTCATCAGTAGGCAGGAAAAGTAAAACTAATTACACTGGTGTTGACTAAATTTAGCTGTCAAAACTAGTTTACCAATAAGACGCCGAAGCCTTTTAGCCCCTGGACCTGGCTTAAGCTTCGTTAGATTTCCAACCTTTGAACAACGAGGTTTTCCAGAACACCAACCCCCCGGTGTGAAACTTCCATTGCTTCGATGGAGGAGTTCTTTATCAATCTTATCCAAAACGGGATCATCTTGCTTGAACTTGCGTGCAAAGGCAGCATCACTTCCAATCATTTTTGCTGTGTCATTAATGTTGAGAGTGTGTGGATGCTGTCGTGGAGGGTAATCCCAAGAAATATAGTGCATGTCGTGGTTAATAACAGTCGTAGCAAATTCTGGGGCATTGCACACAACGGTCTGAAAGTAGCCTTCAGGAGAAGAGACAAAATTTGTGTAGTACATAAGTAGGGTCCTAGGAAGATTATCCCAACCCCATATGCAGTACTCCACAAAAGCACGAGAGAGGATCATCCAGGCTGAACCTGTATCAAATTTATGGCATTGCTCATAGTTGCAGAAATAAGAAGATAAAAATATGGTATGGTGGGCAGATTACGCTAAGAGTTCACTTCATGGTCAATGCAGTTCATGCCGATTTAATGTATCTTCTTCCTAGATCTACCTCACAGTTTGGTCAGAAAGTAATAACGTCATTTCCATCTATACATAAGATTGATGAATTGCTTCCTCGTGCTTCTAGAAAAAAGATTTCAGTGTGGAGAAATACAGTATCAAGTAGAAAAACTGATGAATTTCCAAGTATAGATATCAAAACAAATTTCTGGATTCAACAACTTTAGCAGGTAACAACAATAATTGAAACATCTTGTAGACTAGTCGAACTGATGCAAAATATATCACTATTTCATCTAACCGCAATAGTTAATATGCAAACATGCAGGTTGCAGGCATCCAAAGATTAATATGAAGATTATTTTCAGTCAATAATAATACCAAGATCGCCATGCTAAGAAACTTGAAAATTATCTTATAGTTCAGCTCTCTAGCTGTGAGACACTTCAGAGTCTTAGGGATCATTTGCTTACCGGGGTAAGGAAATTAATCCTGGTATGGATTATAATTTTCTCATGTTTGGTTGTGGGTATTAGCTAATACCAGTATATATTTTGTACCAAAATGATGGTATTAGCTATTCCATATAGGAGGTGGGATTAATTATCCCATGGTATATCCCAAAACTATAATATCATAATCTCATGGGATATCCTAGGAGGCTAGGACTGAACCAAACAACCCCTTAAGGTTTGATACAAAGTCCTTATTTCAACCGAGAAAGTATATCTAGATTAAGGAAAAGGTGTAATGGTACAAGCACAAAATTTTACCGGACAAAGTATATGGTGAGGCATGTTCTATTTGCATTAGTGGTGCATAAACATGGGTAAACAGCATCAAGAATACTTAATCAAGTATGCAAATTCAATCATCAAAAACTAACCAGTAAAGAGCTTAAAGGATGTGGGAAGAGCTCTCTTAGGTGAGGCCCAATATATGTCAGACTTAGTTGTCTTATAGAGCCCAGGGTCTACAATAAGCGGCATTGCCCTTTGACCCCTGCAATAGGATCAACACAGTTACGCAGAAATTAAACCTCAGTACAATAAAACTTCAAGAGCAAAAAGTGAGAGACTGAGAGAGGATAGCATACTCTTTCCAACCCAGCCGGCTAGTGTGCTCAATGAAATTGAACTCTCGCTTTAAATCAGAAAAAGTGTATATTAAATCTGCCAAAAAAATTTAATATTAATTAAACACCTCTTTGAAGAAAGAAACAGAACATAACTACTCAAGACTGACTTATGACCAACAAGAAATGGTGCCCTTTTTGCTGGTAGATAGAAATAAACAACCAGAGAACTAACCATCCTGAGTCACCAGTGGATAATCAGAAGCACTCAAGTTAATAAACCAATCCCAATCCGTATACTTCTTGAGGAGAATCGCGCAAGCATGAAGAGTGTTCGCAACCATGGTAGGTCCACGGTAGGTCACCATGTTTGCTTTGGCGATCATGTGCACGTTCCCAACCTGTGCAAAAATGGGATCTTTCTCCACTCTAGAAGCAAGCTCTAATCTCTCTTGTGGAGGCGATTCTAAGTCCAGATGAACAACATAATAATTCCGTGGATGATACAGCGCTTGCAGCGTTCTCCAAAGCTTTTCTAGATCACCCTTTGATCCAGATATCAAATAAGCAAAACGGGGGACAGGAGGAGCAGCAGGAGGGGCTGGAGCTTGGTTAATTTTCGATTCAGCAAAATACGGGTTGGTTTGATTTATCTTGACATGAGTTGGGAAAATTGAAAAGATTGAATTGAATGTGTGTAATGAAGTAATAAGGCCCATGTTAAAGGAGGTTACAACAAGGAAGAAACACACAAATGAGCTTATAACCAAAGGAAATATCCATCTCTTCTCCATGTTTAAGGACTTCATTGTTGAACCTTATCATTAGTTCATTTTACTAGCAACAAAAATTCACATCAAACTCAATCCTCATCTACTATGCAATCGCAAACCAAACGCCCCAAAAAGCCCGTTCTTGATTTCCTCTCCGCGATACTTATTCAAATGGATCCTTCAATTTGCACTCTTCCAATATGCTGTTCATAGAAAAGTCACCATCTAGAAGCTCAGTCCAGAATTAATAAAATACTAAATTAACAAGATAAAAGATATTCCCAAAGACTCCGTAAGCAACTAGCTAAGAATTTGGTGGAAAGACAAAAACAAGACTTCCATTGTATAATATATAAACAAGCTAACATTCAACTATATTATATTTTTATGTTTTGTATATATTTTATTCGAGAAAATTATAGTTTTAGCAGAAATAGACAGAATGTTACACCAGGATCATCGAAAACAGAGAGATTTTAGAAATAAGAGTCCAAAATAATTGGCAAAACGGTACCGTACGCAAATCCAATCAACTGAACAACATACGTAATAATCTTCGGTGGCTCAAATTAGTACGATTCCACAACTGCATATACACTCAAAAAAGGGGGCAAAAAAAAGAGAGGTAAAAAACCCACTAAGATAATGACAGAGAGAAGGAAAGAAAAAAATAAACAATTAAAGAAACCAAGAATTTCAGTACCCATTACACAGAAATAGAAAAATAAACAGAATTTAGACATGAAAAGCTGCAACTCACTCAATTTCAGCTAAAATAGCAATACTGGTGACCATATAAGCATTACTTAAGCATATCCCAAAAAAAAAAAAAAACGAAAACTTACATGTTGTAAACAGAGAACCTGACAAAGAGGCTTTTTGGGTAAAATACTTAAATGGGGTTGGTTTAAGATTCTTGGAAAGACGTCTAGTTTGAGCTGAACACGTCGAAAACGAAGAGAATAAGGCGGAGAGAATAAAATACTAAACTTAAGAAAGAAATCAGCTGAAGAAGAGAGAATTTGATTGTTTATTGGACATTATTATTGAAAGAATAGAGGTTACAAATAATAAGGTAGGAGGAGAGATGGAACGTGAGGACAAGGACTTAGACCAAGCTGGAGAGTCGCTCACGTTTTGCTTTGGTTTTAGATTTGGGCTCTCTATATTTTTGCCTACTTCTTTCACTATTTCTGCTACTGATTTCTTTTTGGAATTTTTAGTCTTTCTTTTTTAGTTTGACCTGACAGACGGCAATTACGGTTTTGCTGGTTTATATCAAGTAATTACTTCTTTTTTATTCCATAGAGATATAAATATTTGATGTAAGTAAGTTTTTAATGATCCGGTCCACAATTTGTTTTTTTATTTTGTTCCAACATAAGTGTCCTTTTATATAATCAACAAAAAATTTAATTTATTTTTTCAAAATTACTCTTATGTACATATTCATAAAATTTTTTTTACTCCTCACATTAAATTATACTGCAATATTTAATTAAAAGTAGTTTAGTCACACTAACTATTTTTGTCTAAAATTTTGAATTTTCTTATTGGGTGTGCCTACTGCAAATTGGCCGTATATAGATGAGTAGGATTTTTATCGAACAACTAAACTCTAACAATAGTAAAAAAATTCGTAATAAAGGACTTTTATCTTTAATGAGATACCATATGACTATGGAAATTGTTTTTTTTCTTTTTCTAAGGATTATATCAAATTATCACTCTCTCTCTTTCTACCCTCTTTTCCCTTCATGTTCTTGTTCTTTTTCTTTTTAATTTTTTTTGGGTTAGAAGGCCGTGGATAATGAGAAAGGGAAGGTCTTTGGTTAGATTTTGTATTTAAAGACAAAAAATATTCTAGAAGATATTTTGCGTATTACTATTTTGAATTTTTTTTTTAGTGAAATTAAACAAAACAAAAAATCCAAAAGCAAGTGCTGGACGTTTAAGTATTTTTCATCTCTTTTAATGAAATTAAATTTATTTGTTTGTGATTTAACTTTTCAGTAAGAAATAGCAACGAGGAAAAAAAGGAACTGTAAAAGGTGAGAATCCATGATGATTTAAAATAATCCTAGAAAACGGCTACGTGTAATGTGGAAAGTGGATTACGACGGAAAAGGCGAACAAAAGTGAAAAGCAATTACTCCTATCTTCTTTATTCATTATCAAAGTTATTACAGTTTTTGAAATCAATCGTATTCTTGTCTGCCTCTAACTTAATTAATCTAATTTTGCCGGCTAACCAATTTAGTGAATGGTTCCGCCAAATGCCTCATCCTATCAATTCCATCATTAAAATACTCTCTTTTCATTAAGACTTGATGAATCTAAATTTATGTGAGCCCACCTCTTTGGTACCGGTTAATCTGAATTCAATATTTTCATTGTAAAATTTACTAAAATTGTAACAAATAGTTCATATTGACCGATAATTTTGATAATGTAATGAGTTTAATATTAAACATTTTAAAAATTAAATCCATAAAATTTAAAGTCATGTACTCGCTTATGTTGACGATATTAACAAGAGTGTTTAAACTTTATATCGGAGGTGGAGCTACCATAGGACTTACGGGTTGGCCGAATCCAATAACTTTTGTTTAAACTCTGTTTTTGTCTTAAAAAATTTATTGAATATCTATAAATTGTTAATTTAGAATCTGCTTTATATGTGGATAGTGTAAAAATTGTATACAACGTAATAATGTACTTAACAAATTATAAATTAGTAAAAGTACAAATAAAACCAAATGAAGTAATCTAAAGAGGACCGAGATTTGCACGTTGTTAGTTGAAATAATACATGTCTTGCAAAAAGTTTCCTTTGAAAAAACACTTGTAAGCTGATTTGTCTTTTTTTTTTTTTTTTTTATTTTGNTAATACATGTCTTGCAAAAAGTTTCCTTTGAAAAAACACTTGTAAGCTGATTTGTCTTTTTTTTTTTTTTTTTTAATTTAGTTTTTACATTACAAAATAGAGCCAATAACTTACACGCGCCAATCATTTATACGATTTTATACAATGGCAATACAAAAAAAAATACTTATAGTATATTTTTTACATTAAACGTTTAGAGAAGTTAAACCCCTATATTAACCACAGTGGACTTGCTATGAGTTTCCCAAGTCTAACGCCCCACGCCCGCCCACCAACCAATAATGGCTTCCACACCAACCTACCACCATTAATAAGGGTTATGAGAGGTGGCAAATAGATGTGTTAGGTCAAATTTTGGGTGCGTTAAAACAGATAAAATTAATAAACACTTCATGATCCAATCCTCCTAAAGTTTGCTTGGGTTAGTAATGGGATTAAATTACGGGACATAACTCGACTCGCCTAACAGTGAACTGATCTCTGTTTACTTTTTATTTTGCTTTTTGAAGAAAAAAAAATGATAGCTAATGTATTTTTCTTAAATACTTTATAAGTTCTTCTAAATTTATATAATTCCCAATTTTCAAATTTAATTGTGTATATTTTGAGTTTGAATTGCATTTTGATCCGTCGTGTACAGTATTTTTATACAATAGATTGATAGATCATCTCCGATACACCCTTTTGAACCAAGTCAACAAGCTGATCATAACCAGACCTGCTCGGAAATTTAGACGGGTTGATATAAAATAACAACAACAATCCAGTAAAATTCCACAAGTAGGATTTGGGGATGGTAGAATATACACAGACCTTACCTCTACTCTGGAGGTATAAAGAGGTTGTTTCCGAGAGACCCTCAGCTCAAGAAAACGAAAATAGACATTAGAATTTGTGACAATAATAAAAATCAGAAAGATAATATAAGCAAGATGGGTTGATATAACAAAATAAACTCGGCGTAAACGCACACTAGAATTTGTGACAATAATAAAAATCAGAAAGATAATATAAGCAAGACGGGTTGATATAACAAAATAAATTCGGCGTAAACGTACAAGTGATTTGTGACAATAATAAAAATCAGAAAGATAATATAAGCAAGACGGGTTGATATAACAAAATAAATTCGGCGTAAACGTACAAGTGATTTGTGACAATAATAAAAATCAGAAAGATAATATAAGCAAGACGGGTTGATATAACAAAATAAACTCGGCGTAAACGCACAAGTGGGTCTAGGAGAGTGTATTCATTGATTTTACCCCTGCCTAATTATAAATAGAGAGGTTGTTTTCGATAGACTTTCGGCCCGAACACTTGGACGAGTTGATAGGGTTACTAAAAATAAACTAAAACAACTCTTCTTTTTTTTTTTGAAAGAAATTAAAACTTTAAGGTGGACGTCTTTCTAATAACCCAAGTTGGGGAAGGAAAGAGTTAAGAACCTGAATTGATTTATGCTTTCATTTTGGTAACAAGTTGAGACAGAATCCAAACGTTTTCTTCCCAAAAGAGTTTCCTTTAACTACTCAAACCATCTTCTCTCTTTATATTTGGTTTTCTCACTTGATTGAAACATTAAATTCAATGAACTAAAAGCTCAATTTCAGAAATAAAAGAATAAAAAAGACTCGTTCTTAACTAAAATGTCTCATTGGACACATTCCTTTTGGTAAAAGTTTGAACTTTTATCTTTGTTAGAATTAAATAAGGGGAGAATTACATCCCTTGTCACTTGACCCAACAACTCATCAGAAAATGTCTCATGTTTGAAACCCTTACCCATTATAGCTCAGGTTGTACATAATCTGAAAATTAATTTTTACCAGTTAGCCCACCTCTTATTTCTTCGTTCCCCTTTTTTCTTCGTGCTTCTTCTCCTTCCCATGTCAGCCTTTGCACCGCAAAAATTCTCTACTATTGTTATTCTCCTTCAATTCTTTTCCTGATTTCAATGGTTAACTAAGGATTTGAAAAATAAAAGTCACCATTATAAGTGGTTCGAAGATTCGATTTCAGAAATTGAGTTTTCCGATTTGTTAGTTGTTTGGAATGGGTGTTGTCTCAATTGATTAGAATCATCAAGATGAATTCAAAACATAAATTTCAAGTGATTTGGAGTAGATTTAGGCTATATTTGAGTTAAATTTCAGAAATTGAGTTTTCCGATTTGTTAGTTGTTTGGAATAGGTGTTGTCTCAATTGATTAGAATCATCAAGATGAGTTCAAAACTTAAATTTCAAGTGATTTGGAGTAGCTTTAGGCTATATTTGAGTTAAATTTCAGAGGATGCCCAAGGAAGAAGAAGAACACGTGAAGCTCCATTGATAGGATTCATTTGTATAATAATGTATAATATTGTATAAATAGTATATAATAGTGTATAAACACAACTTATACACTATTATATCCAATGAGGAGAGCGCTACAATAGTGTGATGACCCGAAAGGTCGTCACTTATTTTAGAAACAAATCCTGTGTTCTAAGATCTTAAAACCTCCTTTTTACCTCATCTCGATTTGCGTGCATGGTCTGGACGTGTACCCAAGAAGCTTTTATGTGAAAATATGAGAAATAGAAATTTATAGAGTTAAAATTTGATTATAGTTGACTTTGGTCAATATTTTGAGCAAACGGACCCGGATCTGTGTTTCGACGATCCCGGGAGGTCCGCATTAAAATATGGGACTTGGACGTATGCCCAGAAATGAATTCCGAGGTCCCAACCCTTAGAAATCAATTTTTGAAAGAAATTATTTTGCTGAATTATCTATGAAATAAAGAAAAGAATTAATGTTTGAAACCATTGGTATCGGGCCCGTGTTTTGGTTCCGGAGCCCGGTACAAACTTGTTATAGTATTTAAAGGATAACTTTGAAATTTGGCAAAAAAATAGAGTTTATTTGACGTGATTTGGACTTCCGGTTGGAGAGTTATGAACTTTAAGTGTTCTTGATGAAAATGATGAGTTTTGAGGGTTAATTCATGGTTTTACATGTTATTTTCATGATTTGATTGCGCGAGCAAATCCGTATGATATTTTTAGGTTGGTGTGCATGTTTGGTTTGGAGCCCCGAGGGCTCGGGTGAGTTTTAGATAGGCCACTTAGTGGAATTTGGACTTAGGAAGTTTCAGGTTTTAACTGGTATGTGCAGGCCTGCAGGCTTCGCATTGCGAAGCCTGGCTCGCAAATGCGAGAATTATGTCGCAAATGCGAAAAGCCTAGGGCTAGCATTACCTCGCAAATGCGATATCTTCAGTAGGTGCCAGTT